TATGCCCAAACATTTCAACCAAAGAAAGTATCCGAGGAATTAGATTGGGTATTTTACTTCATAAAGATCAAAAAGGGTAGTGGTGTTACCCTACTCAAAAAGATGAATGAACATATCGGTATAAATTGTTATATACCAAGTGATGGATACTGCTTTGTAAAGTGCGTAAATCGTGTTTTAAACGAAGACTACACAAAAGAATTTCAATGTTTCATCAACAGTTTTTCAAAATCAAACAGAAAAGGAGTTATGACAACTGCTAGAATCTGTGAATTCAATAAGAAATTTAATACTTATTTTCAAATTTATATGCCCAAACATTTTCAACCAAAGAAAGTATCCGAGGAATTAGATTGGGTATTTTACTTACATAAATCACATTTCTGTCTCAATAGAAGAGTTAACAAAACCTTAGGCATTACAGAAATAGAAGATAATTACGATGAAAATGTATGGAGAACTTGTAAAGATGATAATGTGGTAACACAAGTTTCACCTTTAAAACTAAACGTTTTTCCAACAATTCACGATGATTGTTTATACGCATGGGATTGCGAAACCTATAGCGAAAAAGAAACGAATTAAGCCATTCCTTATTCTTGCACGTTAATTAATTTAGAAAAACTAAGAAAAATGTTAGACAGAATAAAACATAACTTTCCACATTTAAATCCCACTGATAGTGTACCAGAAGAATTTTATAATAAATTAATGAATATAGTAGAAATATTTGTGGGTAAAGATTGCATCGATCAAATGTTGCAATATTTAGGAAAAATAGATAAAAAAAAATTAACATTAATTTCTCATAACGGAAGCGGTTTTGATAACTGGATCGTGCTTAAAAATGCGAAAAAACTAACGCAATTTCCACTAGTAACAGCTAGAGGCATTCTGTCTCTACCTTTAACTTATTTATTCACCGATGAATATTTACAGAAAAAATGGAAAAGACAAAAACAAATAATGGGCAACTCTAATTATTTGCAAAATACTAATTTCATATGTTCCTATCAACATGAAAAATCTAGTTTGGCGGCATGGAGAAATTCATCTAATCTACCGATGAATTTGAGAAAGATCACCGATATTAATATTGCAAAATACACCAAAGATAATTGGGAATCATTAAGACATGAATGGGAACCTTATGCTAAAAGAGATACGTTATGTCTCGGAGCTTCTTTGATAAAATATAACACAGTTATGAAAGAAGTTGTATTCCAGAATATTTCCAATAATCTAACGGCTCCTTCTTTATCTTTAAAGGGTTGGTATTATTTATATCATTACAATAAAGAAATGGTTGAATAAGAATGGTATGAAACTACTATAATGGTTCCGAAACACACCGAAAAAGAAAACGTAGAAAAGATATTTTATCAGACAATCCATTAAAGGAGGAAGAGTTTCGGCAAATCGAAAATCATTTGAAACGAACAAAATGGATGAAATTTGTAATATATTAAAGGAGTTTAGTGAAACACCAAGTGATAATATAATTGATTTATTTAAAGAGTATAGTAAAAGTAAAAAGGATAAAACGGAAGTTAATTCAAAACCTAAAAAATAAAATGTACTAAACTAATGGCCTTTGATGCTAACAGTTTGTACGCTTCCATGTCGGATTTAGATAGCGAATATCTGAGAGAGGAAAGTGGTAGACCATTTCTACAAGAAGAAAATAAAGAATTTGTTAAGCTCTTTAATGAGCAGAAATTCAGACCAAACCAAATTCTGGTTTGAATATCCTACCAAGATGTTCTTCCAACCCATACCAACTAAAGATAAAATTACTTTTACGAACAAAGAAGGTAATAAGGAAACTGGCACTAAAATCAGGTTCAGAAATGGTTTCTGTTCAGAAGTTTTAACATCGGTCGATATTCAACAAATAGTTAAAGCCGGTGGACGAATTATTAAAATAGTAGATGGTATAGTATACGAAGAAAATTTTAAAACTCCACCATATAGAGATTATATTTTAATTTTGAGAGATCTAAACGAGAAGGTAATATCGTAGGTAGTAATTGTATGAAATTATTAGGTAATTCATTGTATGGTAAATCTATTCAGAAGGATATAACTACATCGAGACATCTATGGAGTGAAGCAACTTTAAAAACCAACTTTGATTCACACGTCAAAAGCTTTCCTAAAGTAAATGAGACTCAATATATCGTTGAGATAAATGAAGAAGAAAAAGAATTTGACTGTACATCTCCTAAATCTACATGACTAACACCTAGTCGTTTGGGGTCATCAAAAAATAATGAATAATTTTATTCACGTAATAGATGGATTTTATAAGCCGGAAATATACTATACAGATACTGATAGTTTATACATTTCGTCTAGCAATTGGGATAAATTAAATGAAGCTGGGTTGGTGTCTGAAAATGATTATTGTAAAGGAAAGAATGATTACGGTGATGGTGGAATCATATTTGGCGCCAAAAGTTTAATATAATATTATTTTAACTTCCGACGGTATTCTAAAAGAAAAGAAAACGTTGTTACTCTAAGGATAAGATATCTGTAGAAGATTATATTCGATTAGCTAGTGGACATGATGTGACGAATGAATTTAAGAAAGTAGTTATTCCAAAGGATGATGATAGACAAAAGAAAGTTTTCAGAAGTTATCTGAATCTCGTTAAAAGAAAAGCACCGGATGATGAAGGAATCAGGTATCCTTATGGTGATAAAGATGACTTGAGTTTGGATGAAAACTACGAATTTGATGATTGCGATTACCTTACTATTCAAGAAGAGAATGAAGATTGTTAATTTTTTTTGTTTTAAATGAAGTTGAATAACAATTTCCTCGTTACCAAAATCTATAAACCTATTTTTACCATCTTTGATTTCCAGATTTATATCTTTAATCATAAAGGAATTAAGTGGCAAATATGTTGTTTGAAATGGTTTCTCTATAATTCTATATCCTATCGTTACAGTGAATGTTGGAAGACTGTAAATAATCTGACGTTTGTATTTATTGAAAAATCCACCGTTTATCAAATTGCAATGTATATTTATCACATCGATATCATTCTCGATATTAGCTTCGTGTGGTGCTAAAGTGGATTGCGTGTATATTTGTTTATCAAATCCTAGTAACGCATTCAATGAATTTTCTATGTTAAAATCAACTTGACTATTATTTCTTAATATCAATTTTATTTTGTTCAGATTCAATTTTAATATTGTATTTACCATTTACACTTCCTCCATATTCAGATAGGTATTCGTTAATGGCTATGTATTCGTAGCTTCCTGGTAGTAAACGTATGGTTTTGAATGTAACTCCATTATCTGTTGATATTTTAATTGGTTATTTTTTTCATTGATATTTCTAATGGAATTGTAAACAGAGAAATACTTTAATCCCAATTCATATTCTTGATAGCGATCGAGTTCGTACTCATAATCTAGAGACAATTCAATGTCTGATTTATTTGAGGTGATAATGAATAGTTGTTTTTTATTTGACATTTTTAATCACGCTTTTATAATCATTTTTATCTATAATACCTTTTTCTAGGAGTTTTTAATATACAATTTACTTCATTATTTTTGTCTGTGCGATCGATGTCCTTCCTTCATTGCCGTTAATATTACTCGTAATCTATTAAGTAGTTCCTCGTTGTTGTCGGATAAAAACCGTTATACCTTGTCCAGATGCCACCATATCATTGTCTATTTCTTGTATGATTGGATAATCTTATGCATAATCATCTGCTTCATCATCTTCATATTCATCAGGAATAACTTTATATATGTTTCAACTGCTTTCGATCTTCTTGTTTCGGGTCCCGACTTTCTTATTGCACGTAAAAATTTTGAGTATGCTAGTAAATCCTTGTAATAATGCCAATCCCGCCATTCATTAAATCTATTAATCCTTTTGTTAATGTAAATATTAAGTCTTTTGTATCGATTTTGAATAAAGGGGAATTTGCCCTAAATTTATTCTAAATCCATTAAACAATATCCTCTTGAGATTTTAATATTGGTTGAAATAGATTTTGTAGATTTTCTGTTAATCCAAGTTGTTGTAATTTGTTATTTTCAACTTGGGTCTTTATTTTATTCTTAGCTTTGATATATTCTGTATTTCTTTTTAAAATATTATTCCAATCGCTACTCATTTTAAAAAAAAATAAAATTAACATGTCGATCATAACTCTTTCACCCGCAGGTTTTCTAGTATTATTTATCATTTATATCCATGATCATCTAGGTTTTTCCATTGCGCTTAATGCATCTCTGTCCATTCCGTGATTAATCGATTGAATGATTTGAGATAAATCTTTATCGTTTAATTCAAATAATAAAAAACGATGTGCATTTTTCTAATGACCATAGAATCCATCCCGTAAAAAGATTATGATGTCTTCCTTTCGTGAAGAATTTTTGTTGAACAGCTTGATTTCTTTGCGCTACGCAGTCGTCTAATAATATTAAGTTCTTTCGATTGCTATCAATATTAGACAAGTCTAGGTCATTAACATTTTTCGTAAGAAAAACTTTTATATCCGTTGGATTCTTTGCTTCAATGTAGTTATCTATGACATCTTTTATTTCCGCTTCTTCTTCTTTTTCTTCATAATATTGAAATATGTCTTGAACATCTTTCTTTGGTAAATATTCTAAAGCTTTGAGGAATTGGTAATACGATTGCTCTGGTGTTGGTGTGTAGATATATAGTGAATTGAAATCTAAAAGTTTAGGTGTTGTCAAGATGTTAAAAGTGAGATGAGTTTTCCCAGAACCAGAACTACCCCATATACACTTGGGTTATTAGGAAATATTTCTGAATGATTAAATTTTTTGCCCATTTGTTATTATTTTATTTTATTCCAAAAATCACTCCTTCTCCTTTATACTTTGAAAGAAATAATCCTTCTCCAGTGTGTATATTTTTAAAAAATATTCCATTACCCTTATGTTTGACTTTGACTTCTCCTGTGTCAATACTATCTACTAATTTATTTAATCCTTGTTTAACAGTTTTCTTGGTTTCTTCCCCAAATCCTTTTCCAAATTCTTTTATTGTGCCTATCATATCTCCCACTCCTGAACCTTTGGCTTCCTTTTCCATTATCAAATTATGTCTAGGTTCTTCAGCGGCTTTAGCATCAGCTGCTTTCTTTGCGTTGGCAGCTTTGAATTCGGCAGATATTCCACCAGTTGCTGCACCCACCGCTGCAATACCACCAAATATTAAAGGTAGTAGGACAGGTAAAAATGTGTTCGCGTCAATTCTTTCTAAGTCATATCGTCTCTCACTTTACAATATTTGTACTTATCAATACGTTTTTTTAGTTATGCTGATTTTTTTACCGTTGAAAGTTATTACAGTTGGGGAATCTGTTTCAATAGCTTGAATTTTTTTCATAAGTTTCTGGTTTCATTTTTAAGGGGGTATTTTTTACTCAATTCTTATCATACTTCTATCAGCTATTTTAATTAAATGTTTTGCTTCTTCGAGTAGTAAACAATAACCTGTTACATCTCCTTGTGTTTTTTCAATATGAATATTCATATTCACCCCTGTTTTGAAAAGATCTTCTTGATGAGCTGATAGATCAAAACAGAAGATTGGATGATTAAGTGCAAAATCTACATATTCAAACTGAGGTGGATTTCCAAATAATTCACACATATTTTTATAGTTTATATACAATTCATTATAATCCTTTGTGGTTGGATTAATTCTTAAATGTTGATTAGGATATTTATCGTTGTTAA